GTGCTCGCCACTCCCCCCCACCCCGTCGTGTGACGTCTCGGCCTTCATAGCTGTTACTCGCACCTGACCCAAAACGTCTGCTTTGGCTATACCGTGGCGGGGGCGGGGGGTGTCATCTTTGTTTGTTTGTCTGTGTGCCGTCGTCAACCTCTTGTGAAAATGCGCCACGTCTCTGTGCCTCTCCTCTTCACGTGCACGGCCTCCCCGAGTTGCGCCCGCACAAAGCTCTCTCGCGCCAGCACAGCGCAGAGAGAGGAGCTGGATACCAACAGAGCCAGCCTCTGTGTTACAAGGGACACGCTGTGCCGATACCCAACCGCGACAACAATGCGAACAATTTGAATATCGATCTTGCTTTGAAGCTTTCGTGACTGCAGGAATCCATACTCTTTGGTTCTTTCGGTAAAGTCACGTAGGTAGAAATAACAACATCGTCATCAGTTGCTTTCCACTGCCTGCGCCACCCATGTGCAGCTCTCACGGTTCAGCGAGTACTTTAATCCGTCTCGCTCGTCAACTGATAACAATCGATTCCAGCACCGTGGCGGGGGTCGTCCTCTCGTAGGCGTACCCTCTCCCTCGTACGACTGCCATTCTGACACCGGTCTCGACAAATTAGAATGAAGACTCTACTCTTTGGTTCTTTCGGTAAAGTCACGTGTAAAGAGAAAATAATAAATTAAATACTAGCATACGACGTTTCGATTGCAACACAAGCAATCATCATCAGGTATAAATGAAATAGAAACACAAATCTAGTATACTTAGAAATGTAATGTAATACAACAGAGAGTCGGATAACATAACAGTCAACATCCTACCTGGTTGATTACGTTCTTCCCGATAATGCTAAATTTGAGAGAGAGAGATTAAACACAGAACCAGAGACATATAGACAGACATATAAGTAGAGACAGATATCACAGAGATACATAAAGAGAGAGAGAGAGACGTACATAGGCACACAGAGAAACCACGCCTCTGTCTCGAGGCCTTAAATAGAGAGACGGCGTGCGTCCGTGCGCACTTTGAGAGTCGCTGGCCACGAAGAGAGAGAGAGCCACTGCGCGTTGCTTGTTGGTGAAGCGGAGGCAGTTCTAGAGCAGGAGGCTGGGGATTGCAATCACGATTGTGATTGTAGTGCCGGTTAAAGCACGTGGACGATTTTTCACGGTCAGACATAGGCGCATGAGTGGAGTCAGATGGGCCTAAGCCTGTCCTTGAATAAGAAGCGCGGAGTCAGCGGTGCATGAAATTTAGAATAATCGCTCCGGTGAGTCTGACCAGAGGTGGAGCGGTGGCGCAAGTGGTTGGCGCACCGCGCTGTAAATCCTGGCGAAGCTAAGTTCAATTCCCTGCCACGCGTATCATCAACGGCGGGTGATATCTGAACGGGTACGGATCCCCTCCCCCATCCCCGCTACCAACCAGAAAGGACGAGCGTGGTGAAAGATGGTTTTAGACAATTACAAGGATCTACCGTATAACATTTACAGACTGTTGGGGCCAGTGGTGTTAGCGAGCACCTATGAAGGCCGGCACGGCACTCGAGGGGGTGGGTGGCCAGCACCACACCCGGCCGCCTTTGTATTCCCAGTGGCGATGTTTACACAGCACACCAGGTTCTCATTTTCTGCGGCGAGTATGGTTTAGACAACCTCCATGACCGACACGGTGTGGAGAGGACTTCACCCCGATCATTGACTTGACAAAGGGCTGTAAGAGAATATCTGTCGTCTCTATCGCTGTGCGTCGTGGACAATGGATACTGCCAGATTGGTACGATATATTAACCGTCTGCCTTTGTCAATCCACTGCTGAATTAAGCCCCCCCCCCAGCCCCTCCTCCTCCATCAAGTACCGGTTGATGAACGCGTGGTTCTCTGCACCGCTTCAGACATCAATGGCCACTGACGCGGCCTGCAAATGTCTTAAACAAAACGAATCGCCGATGTTTCCATCGCGCACTGTGGCCGAACCCCATGCACCAGCTGACCATCCACATTAGCACCGCGGTGTCCTTAGACGCAACGGTCCCCAACCTTTTTGGCACCAGGGAGCGGTTTCGTCGAAGACAATTTTTTCACGGACCGGGGGGGGCGGGAGGGGTTCATCATTGGGTCTTTCCCCCTTTTCAAAGAAGCTCTCCGGCGACGTTTGTTTTTTACTCATTTTGGCCAGGGGTTAGCAGCTTGTGGGCTTACCAACACTGTGACTGAGACGAGTGCGCAGTGCGGGAAAGAGGCGCGGACGGAAGTGGTGAATAATAAAACGATGGGGGCGGGTTCCACGCGCGGACTCACCGCTCTCACCTCCTGCTGCTGTGCGGCCCGGTTCCTAACAGGCCACGGACCGGTACCGGCCCGGGGGTTGCGGATCGCTGCCTTAGAAGACAAATGCAGTCGGAGGATCGCACCGAATCATCGGCGGGAGCCAGGCGGGTCCCGCTTCTGGTTTTCCAATCGCAGGTAAACCGCCTACAGGTGGTGTCATTGAACTTATGGGGTGGGGGGGGAGGGGGAATCAGACAAACCGACCGCATACTATTTGGTTCTTTCGGTAAAGTCACTTAGGTAGTAATAAAATAAAATAAAACGAATCACTACGTTTCGATCGCAACACAAGCAATCTTCATCAGGTGGAACAACCACAGCAAGAAAAAATGCAGTGGCGCAGTGGTGCACAAGCACAAATAAATCTATAAATATTCCGCACACTCTTCAAACAACACTGTCCTGAAGATGAAAGCATCTGTGACAATAGGCGAGAGAATGAGAAGCAGGGCCGTTGGCCGAAACGTCGCCTATTGTCACTGCATAGCAGAGAGAACGGAAGGCGTGTCATTTCCCGAAAACGTCGACGATTATGCGTAGTTTTAAATTTTTAACGATCTTCAGTATCGTGCTGTTGGCAACGCGTGTCGTCGGTTTTCTGCATCGAGAACTCGGGAAAAGACACCGAAGCAGACCCCGCGCTATAGCGAGCCGTGCACCGCGTGGCTTTAACAACGTCAGGCAGAACAATCATTCATTAGCGTCGTTCGTTTGGTGTGAACGTGGACGTCCGAGCATGCGAGCTGAACGTAAGCTCTCAATCTGTTCTGCTCCTCCAGTTGTTTCCGCTCCTTGTCCCTACCTGCCAAGCCCCTTGCACTGGCACGAACTTCCCCTCCACGTGAAGCGAGCCTACGCGTTAAACTGACCCTCCCTGTCCAGTTCCCGCTCCTCCCTCAAGAGCCATCATCTCTTCTCCCTGGCTCATCCTTCCCTCCATCCCGAGGTACCCCCGTGATTTCCGTTCCCAGTAACCATCCCGCACCATACGCCCAGCCCTATCCACCACATCAACTTTAACTCACTTCATTGTACCACTTACAACCCTCGTGAAACGCCCTGGATGAAGGCGTTATGTAAATACTAGATAAGAGGATTGCCTGGTGGCTGCGTAGTCTCTGATGATGCCACCGCCACTATTATTATTGTTGCTACTGTTACCAGTCGTTATTTATTTATTTGACAATACACATTCCATTGTGTTCATTAAGCCGCCTGTGTGCGCGTTTGCCCAGAGTTTGAAAAGCCGACGTAGTTCCGGATACATTAAGATGCAAATTTACGTCCGAATTTCGTCATCTTTGTCACATCAGCATCATCATAATCAGTTTGGTCACCTCGTAATAATAGACCTATGTCAGACTATCTGTACCGGGCAGTGGTATCGTTCATTCCACTCCATCAACGGTTACTAAATAGCTAAAACTCAAGTTGTATGATGATGGTAAAAAAGTACCTTGATGGTTATTGTAACCACCATCATCATAATCGTCATCTTTATCATTTACTACTCATCCATCAGCATCATTATCTCCATCATCACCGCGACCACCATGAGGATTATGTAAAAACCCACATTGCCATCCATCATCATGATGATCGAGTTGACATTGGATCGTGCGATAAACATTTACTTTTAATAACGATCGTTGGTGGTCGTGATGATGGCGATGATGGGTTATTACATACATTGCGAGATATCACATTGTCGTGATCATTATGATCGTCAGGATGAATGAGCCAATTGCGTGTTGTATGACACACCGTATCACGTCCACATTTCCAACGGCGTCTGTGTGTGTGTACTTGAGTTTGTGTGTGTGTACGTGCGTCTGTGTGTGTACTTCTGTGTGTGTATGTATGTGTACTTCTGTCTGTGTGTGTCTGTGTGTGTGTCTGTGTGTGTACGTGCGTCTGTGTGTACTTGTGCCGGTGTGTATGTATACTTGTGCCTGTGTGTATGTGTACTTGTGTGTGTATGTGTGTGGTACTGTAGAGTGGCAGTTAGCATGGTGCGCTCCGAACCCGGCCGCCCGAGTTCGATTCCCACTCATGGCCAACACCAGTGACGATTATCTGAACCGGTCATGGGCCTCCCCTGGGTTGGCTCAACCTCAAATGAGTACCCTTTTTGTGGTGTGTAAACATCACCACCGGGGAGACAAAGGCGGCCGGGCATGGTACCTGGCGCGGTGTGTAAACATCACCGCTGGGAAGACAAAGGCGGCCGGGGGTGCTCTTGGCTACCCACGCCCTCGTGTGCCGTGCCGGCCTTCATATAGGTGCTCGCTAACAGCACTTGCCCCAACAGTCTGTTAGAGGCTACCACGGGGGATCTTTGTCTTTGTGTCTGCGCGCGCGCGTGCCCGTGATGATGTAGAATTGCGAGTCGAGTGTTTGCCTCCCATTGGCCGCGAGGCTGGTGACGCGCGGGAGGGCGCTAAGATATGGAGCGAGCGGGCGTCTGATGAGGCAGCAGCAGCAGCGGCGGCAGCTCCATCAGCAGCAGCAGCAGCGACGACGCGCAGGGTTCCTGCTCAGCGGAGACCCCCCCCCCCCCCCCCGGACTCCCCACGGCCACCTCCATCCAGAAAAGACCCCCCCCATCCACCCGCACGCCCCAGCGGCCTCCTTTCGTACGGCTCCAAAAAAAGCGCACAACGGAGAGGGTAGCTCCGGACAGGCCGGACGCAGGACAAGACAGACGCGCAACATCTTAGTTCACGTTAAAAAAAAAAGCAAAAATCACACACTCATCGCGTGATCTCTCCCGAGGAGCTGCTTGCTAGCCAGCCCCGCAAGGCGCGCGTTTATTTTTGTTTAAAATCTCAAAGCAAATTATTCTGGAGTCGGCGAGCTCAATGAAGAAGACTGCTGGAGAAGGCTTCCTCCGGCAGTCGTAGCCCGCAAGGACACCGCAGTTTGCTGCCGCTGCTGCCGTTGACTCTCTCTCTTGACCTCCGAAAGACCATCAGAGACGGGACGCGTTCGTCGCGTCTTTCTCTCTCGGCACGGGGGAGAGAGAGCGGCACGCGGGGGGAGAGAGCGGCACGCGGGGGGAGAGAGCGGCACGAGAAGAGAGAGGGACACGCGGGGGGAGAGAGCTGCACGAGAAGAGAGAGCGGTCACGCGGGGAGAGAGAGATCGGCACGCGGGGAGAGTCGGCACGGGCGGAGAGGGAGGAGGCGGGAGGAGGCCGCGTGCGTTCGTGACCCCCTCGCCTGCGAGCCCGTGCGTCATGGTTTACTGCGCCGGCTGCGAGCGGCCCATCCTGGGTCGCTTCCTGCTCACGGTGCTGGACCGGCCCTGGCACCCGGGCTGCGTGCAGTGCTGCGAGTGCAACTGCTCGCTCTCTGACAAGTGCTTCTCCAGGGAGGGCAAGCTTTACTGTCGCGAAGACTTCTTTCGGTAAGAGCCGCGTGCCGCCGCTCGTCATCATCGTGACGCGCACAGAGAGCCGCATTCATCACGTCCGTGGTGTCCGACAACTCCCGTGACCGACAGCGGCTCGGGGAGGGCATTCATCGAGTAGTGGATTGATTGACCACGGATGATGATGATGATGCCGATGCTTTTTAAATGTCAAACGTTTGTCAAGCCTCCGTTGGATGAAGGTATCCACAAGTCGTGTCGGTCGTAGGGGGTTTGTTTGACCATACTTCACCACGTTGGTCACTGCGAGTTAATGGAGGCAGTACAGTATATGTAATAATAATACGAATTTACTGACTTTTGTTCATCCGCCGTTGGATGAAGACTCATCCGAGCCGCGTCAGTCGGTTATGTGACCATACTTCACCGCGCCGGTTCCAGCGGCTTGGTGAACGAAGGTGGTGGGAGGGGAGTTGCTGAGGATCGGCTGAGATAGAACTTGCCACCCATTGCTAGCCGCGGTCGGGAGTCGAACTCATGTTACCGTGTTGAGAACGCAATATCGCTAAACACTGGCCCAGCACCTCTCCTCCCAGTATGTGCCGCTCATGGCCGTACTCGTGCACAGTACGATGCTTGTATGAACGAATCGCTGTACGTACATGTGTAGTTCATGCCCGTCGGCACAGACAAAAACAAAGATCCCCCGTACAGCATTAACAGACTGTTGGGGCAAGTGCTGTTAGCGAGCGCCGATGCAAACCAGCACGGCACGCGAGGGGGTTGGTGGCCGGCACCGCTCCCAGCCGCCTTTGTCTTCCTAGTGGTGATATTTACACACCGCTCCAGGTACTCATTTGAGGCTGAGACGACCTAGGAGAGGCCTAGGACCGGTTCAGATCATCGCCACTGGGTGTTGGCCGTGAACGGGAATCGAACTCGTGTAGCCGGGTTCGTAGCGCAGCGTAGCGCTAACCATTGCACTACCGTTCCCCACTTTTCGCACGTACATAAACATACATACACATACACACACACATACGGTTACTCGATATTTACAATACATTTGATTTATATTGCCGTCTAAAGTCTCCACCGCATCTCAAGCTGCCGTATATCTCAAGATGCACGTTGGTTTTGTGCATCGCAAAGAACGCAGGGAAGAGTTATGCGCATTTGCTTTTGTATCGAAAACGAGAGCGGCAGTCGAGTCATAGACGGAGGTTCAACGAAGAATTGCGTGAGCCAAGAGGTCGACAACACGGATGGAAGTAGAGGAGGATGGGCTGGGGGAGTACGGGATTACTAGACAATGACCGTAACAAGAAAACAATTGTTAATGGTACAGATTGTAGAGACTCGGTTTGAATGCGATGTGGTAATAAACACGACCGCGTTTGTGCGTGTGTACGCGTGTGTGCGTTTGCGCGCCGGTTGAAATGAATTGCCACTCAAGGTAAACTCGGCGTTTGTTAGAGGGCTCTTGTTCTATTATGCGAAGCGGAGACATCAGAGCCACGTTAATTAGCGCGGGCGACCTAAATCAGCTTCGTGAGAACCTCATTTTTTTTTTAATATATCGCATAGACAGTCACGGTACATGCACACTTACCGTGAGCGGCAGAGAGACAATTTCATCTCGCTATTTGTCAGCGTGTCCGCTTCCCAATCATCATCGATTCATAATTCAATCTTCATCACCACCACCACAATCAGCCGTCGACTCTATTTAAACCCAACAGTGTAATCTTCGTCGCCGTGATGGTAAGTTTTTTTAATTCAAAAACCGTACATCTCTCTCCCTCGAATTAACTAAAGCTCGCAATAGTTGAAGTGCATTTGTTGTTGGTGTTATCAACAGACAGCGTACAATTTCCCGTTCGCGTGGTGGGTAGGCTGTCGGATTAACACCACCACAACCACCTTCTTCCTCCGACCACTGCCACCCCTCAGATGCGAGCAGAAACATCTGGCACAGAGGCACGCGGCTAATCGCTGCGAAATCACGTGCGCGCGCGAGATGCGCGCTCGTGAGAACGTGCGCATTTTTGATGTCACATGGCTTAGGCAAATGCGTTAAAAACTCCGTTGGGAGGAGAGGGGAAGAGGAAGGGGGGGGTGGTGCTGGTGGGGGTGGTGGTGGAGAATGCGCACTCGCTCGCTCACTCGCAGTCTCAGCGCCGCGCGTTTTGAATCCGCGACGCGCAGAGACGGTGGACGTTCGACGGTTCGATTCCGTCTACTCGACGGCGGCTGCATTGACGGACCTCGAAGCGGAGGGTTTTAATCGGAACTCGGGGGGGGGGGGGGGAACCACGGAGCCGATATGACGTGCGACGGTGTGGTGTCGTCTCGGTCTAGTTCCCTGCTCCGCTAATTAATTCAGTGTTAGGTGTGCTAATTTCACTCCGGTGCCGTGGAAAATGTTCTCCAAGACGTCGCCACATTATCACATGCAGAAACCGCATGTGTTTGGTCTGCCACGTATGAATATATTCACAAATATCTTACATTTGTAGGTAAGATATATGCGGCACGGGAAGGTATATCTACGTAGGGGGGATATTACATCGTAGCGGGGAGTCAGGAGCCGGTATTTATTCACAATTACGGCTCATGGGATTTCTATAAGTGTCTAAATTTCGGCGTTCATTTAGATTTTAGAGAAACGGCCACCTTGCGTTGTGTGACAGCCGACACCCCCCCCCCCACGACACGATACTCGTGAACGCCGGGGGAAGTATTCGAACACAAAGCGCATGCCAACACAAACATCACGGAATATTCAAATGCGAGGTGTACACGGTGGTCCAGATGTCTCGTGACCCCCAATTAATTGACCCCGAGCTTGTCCCCCCCCCCCCCCCCCCCCCCCACGTGGTCGTCACACCTCGTGGGACTGTTGCCAACGCTTCCTCATCTGCCACGTGCTGGCGATGAAGATCACTCCAGATTATTATTATTTTTATTAATTTTATTTGCATTAATTTTTTGGTAGCGGGGGGTTGCGGAGGAGGAGGATGACGAGGAGGGGATGGGGGCAAAGACTTTCGCCGACGTTTGAGCGACGCGGTTAAAACTGTCGTCGAGTTAATATTGTCGAACTTAGTTGCACTTATCTGTAAACTCGTTCTCTACAATGTCGACGTTTTGTCTTCGGTTTTTGTTGTTGTGCTCGCGCAGCACCACGGACCACCCCCCCCCCGCACCCGTGTAAAATCGCCGTGCATCCGGCTTAAATGGGACCTTCCGTGTAACGAATGCAAATTACCTTAAACTTCCATTGCGCGATTTAAGAAAGGATGACACCTTTACGGGACACGTGTCGCGTGTCGCCTTTAGGCTTGTCGTCGAGGCTGGGTTTGATCATACTTGACCAACACGCCGTGGAGATGAGTGGCCGTCGGTCCAGCAAGCAGTGGGATTGCCAAAGGAAAATAAGAAGCAGCTGTAATTTCCATAACTCTTCTCTCACATTCCTGTACTCGGCGCACTAAGAGTAATACACAGTTATTTTTTATATGTATATAATAATATGCCAGGATAATAGGAGCACACATTGGAATCTAAGAGTAGTTTTAAATTAACCGTGTGGTCAGTCTTCTGCATTCGTAACTCCCACCTCTTCGTTGTCGCTATGAATTCGTTTTTTTTTATTACGTACGTCTGCCGTTTCAATTCGATGTTTACTTGTTACCTGGAGAATATCGTGTAGCCAGTTGCCCAGCTAGTTTCGGTGGCAATGTCCCGCAGCCACGAACAACAGAGTTAGTGTTGGGGGTAGAAAGGAGCCCAGCCAGCAACCAGCCAGGTAACTCGAGGCATCGATTATTTTTGATAATCGTGAGCATGGGATGAATGGGTGTTTTGCGTCGCATATGAACTATAACCCCCCCCCCACCCCTTCCTTCTGTCTTCTCGATTGAGACGATGGTGATTGATGCAAAGTCTAAGGGGTCTTCTGGAAGGGTAGGAAATGTGAGATTGGTACACGACAATCGTGTGCATAAAGTGCGCGTCGTATACATATAGCGTTATAGACGTTTCGTGACTGATGCAAACTCTAATAACGTTGTGGACGGGCTAAGAAAGTCGGAGTTTGGCGGCGCGAATGCAGCTCGTCAACTGAACTCTTGCTAAAGTAGAGAAACCCGAAAATAAAACGTAAACATTGTCAAAATTTGAGGACACAAAACTTATACGAGGTTGATTTGGTTTTACTCCTGGGATTCATGGGACAGGGTCGGCCTCGAGTTCCACGTCGCTCTACGACTCGCTCTAAACAAACTTGATTTGAAGCTTTCGTGACTGCAGGAATTACTCTTTGAAGTCACGTAGAAAAAATAAATTTAATAGAATACGGCGTTTCGATTGCAACACAAGCAATCGTCATCAGGTGTGTCTCCGTGTTGTCTCTCTCTGCTTGTGTGTCTGTCTGTGTGTCTCCTTGTCTGTGTTTCGTCTCTCTCTCAAATTTAGTTCTACCTAATGACGATTGCTTGTATTACATTCGAAACGTCGTATTCTATTATTTCAATTTATTTTCTTTCTACGCGACTTTACACCGAAATAAACCATAGAGTCGCTCTAAACACTTTTACGCGTTCACGATCGTCACCATCGGTGGACCGAGTGATTCGCCTCCCCGCGGAGTACGACGTTGAAGCCGAGAGAAAGCGCGACCAGAGCTTCCGCCCGGCCGAGTTCACTCGGGCACGACCCACGCGCGGGTTCTGAGTCGTCTCGTCGATTACGGCTGGTTGCTGGCTGGGCTCCTTTCGGTGATCATCACCGCGCGGCTTCCACACTGCGAGTGGGGATCATTACAAACGCGTAGAACGTGTACGACGCATTCACCTCTGCCATTAATATTGCGGACGCCGTGGGTTGAGACGAAGTCGTGGCGCTCGCAATGTACGTATATGTGTGTCTGTGTGTGTGTGTGTGTAGATGGGGAGCGGTAGTGTAGTGGTTAGCGCGCTGCGCTATGAACACGGCGACCCGAGGTTCGATTCCCGCTCACGGCCAACACCCAG